CTAAATGAATAATACTTTTTTAAAGAATTGCCAGAAACTATAGATAGCTACCATATCTTTGAAAATGCTCAGTAAAGAAGATGGCCAAATATTTATCTACATCATGTAGATGCATGATCCTTTGAAGCAAGGTTCTCTAAAATTTACTTAGAATACGTGAATATCATTGTTTTTCAGAAACCAGAAAGGTATCCTAAAATGCTTTTTAAAAATACAATATGCTAACAATAATAAAACAAAGCACTCAAAAATCAAGATCAGCTAATGTGTCAAATAAATAATTGACATGTCAACAGGTTTTGTCCTGTTACCAAATGTGTGATTATGAGTTATACAAACATAAATAATTGTCCATTTTATTGTCTTATCATGAACTAGAAGACTTGGAGAACACCCACTACTTTATGTACTATCAACATACAACATGTAATATGGTACATCTTTTTTCTGGTGTATTTTAAATCTATTGCTAGACATAGCATATTTCTTATATTTAATAATTCTTATAAGTGGTATCAATGGTAACAGGAATGCTGGGACTGAGAGGTCTTCTGGCCCTCCCCTCTACTTCACGTTCCAGATCCTTGGGATCAACTCTCTTAGTTATTTGATATAAATTAAAACAGATATATTAAAAGTGTCACAACGACCAATTGAGTTAAAACACCTTGCTGTGGGAATCATTTAATTGTGAATGTACCCAACAATCTTGCATGTTTCAGTCCTAGGAAACCTATCCTGATAGCAAATCATCTAAACACTGCCAAATCCAAAAATTATCCTGAAATTATACTACTTCAGTTATGTCCATTTGCCAAATTACTAATGTTAATGTCTGATATCTGCTTCTTTTGTAACCACTGCAAATCATACAACTCCAATATATTTTTGTATGTTTTGAGTTTATGCAAAATGTCTTCTTTGAAGTCATACATATGGAATGAATTTTATTGTATAATTGGTAATGTATCTATTAGACAATATAAATATAATATGATACTCAGTGCTACTCCAAGTCTCTGAAGCAAAGAACCAAACAGGGCTTTCCTTGCTACTGCCTCCACATTATCTAGGTTAGATCTAATGATACCAAACCCAGCATTGAACTGGTTCTAGTCAGTGTAGACAAATATTCCCTCTCCTAACTCCCTTTAGGTAGTTGGCATGTCACCTCTTGGAAATCTCCAGACATGTTGGGAATTCTGGGACTTACAAAATCTGTAGGGTGACAGGTCTAGTCATAGCAGGGTAGACAGAAAAGATAGAGCCAGAGGTACCAAAGTTCTTACTCAAGACAATTTTCATGTTATAAGGCTCTCTTTAGCCCATTAACAATTCTATCACAACAACTAAAAGAATCTAAAAGTATATTAAATAAAGTACCAGGCTGCTTTTTGATTAAAATAATGGAATCCTAGGGTTGGAAGGGATTTTAAAGGTCTTCTAGTCCAATCCCTACCCAGAGCAGGAATACTTACACCATCCAAGAAAAACAGCTCTCCATTTTTTTTTGAAAAGCACCCAGGACCCCAGGAGGCAGGCTGCATCACTGCTTAATAGCTTTCACAGTAGGGAAATTCCTTTGAACTTGCATCTCTCTCTCTCTTTAAAGCCTCCACCCACTGGTTTTTTTCCTACCTCTGGCAATACAAAAAATAAATCCACAACCTCTTTCCTATCACAGCCCTTCAAGTATTGGAAGACTGCTATCATGCCTTCCTCTTAGCCTTCTCTGTTTTAGGCTAAACATACCCAGTTATTTTAACCATTCTTCACAGGATTTAGCCTTCAAGTCTCTTACCATCCTATTTGCTCTTCTCTGCACCCATTCCACTTCCTCAGCATCCTACCTGTATGTGGTGGCCAAAAGTGGCGTCAGTAGTCCAGATGTGGTCTGATCAGTGCAGCCCAGAAGAGAATTATCACTTGCTGTGATCTTGATATTATATCTCTGATGATACAGCCCAAAGTTGTTTGTTGAATAGAGTATTAGGAGAGGAACATAGCAATGTTCTTAAAGAGGGACTTTATATGCATCTATGGGTATTGGTGGAATGGAAAGGGGAAATTGGTGATAAAGTACAGAATCGTTTTGGAAGCTGGAGGCAGAAACACCAACTGTTTTGACATGAATTGCAAATAGCCTAAAAGTCTAATTTTCAGAGGAGCATCATTGACACATCTTTGCCAGTAAAACTACACAAAATTATGAGTTACTTCAGAGACTGCTAAAGCCATGACCATGTTAATGTTTTTATTTCAAGAAATAAGTATGTTTAAACAAACAGATGTTTTGGGGAGTGAGTCATGAACAGGGAAATGGAAAAGAAAGATAAAATACAGAGATGCTTTGGATGTCATTACACATTAAACAAAGTTACTGGGTGTGATAAAATTGTCTGCATCAGATAACTCAAATAAGCTGTTGAGTTAAATATGGGTACACATCCATGGCTACACTATTTGCAAAGTAATATGATTTTTTTTTAGTTGTTATCATACCAATATTATATCAAAATAGCACTTCTCATCAACATATTCCTTGAGCAAACAGATCTGACTTCTGCAACATTGACTCAGATATTTTACAAAAAATATTTTGAGCCCTTTTCCTCCTTCCCCCACAAAAGAAATGCATTGTTCTGAATTTTTTCTAAATTTCCTTTATGAGGCCTGAGGACAAAGACTCCTTTCCTTCCATGATCCCCTGTAAAATACTAACACAGCTCCCAACCCAGCATTTCTGCTCAGAGACGTTGCTACCTGAGACAGACTCACAAATGTACCCACTGAAACCAAAGTGTATTATACCCAAGACCTATCTTGAGTTCCCACATGACCTTTTTGTGCTGCTGGCAGTAGAAGTATAGAAATAATATACTAAATCATCCATCCATTTCTGTCCTTCCAGGTTATCCAACATCAGAGACTCTGAGCTCCAGGGCAAAGGAACAAAACCAATGCATGGAAAGTCCCTTCTCTCCCAACAACATTTCCTTCTCATACCTCTGTGGGACTTAAGCCATCTTTCCCCCTTGGGAGAGATTCTCCCCAAGCACTTCATCATGATTCAGGAGGGAAAGTTTCCTTTCCAGTGCCTGATATGGGCTGTACCCTTCAGGACCAATCAGGCAAAGAGCACAGAGCTCTATTGTTGGGTTACAAGAGGAAAACTTCAAGGTGTGTGCCTGAGTGTGTCCATGCATGGAAGTGCCCACTGTGCACACTAGCATTTCAGTGGTGCAGAACCTACTGATTCTCAAAGTAATGCCATTCCCCAGTGAAACAATGTCTCTGGTGATTGCTCAGTACCACTTCTGCCCTCTAGTGCATTGCATGGATTCTGCTTTCTTCTTGTTCTGTGCTAGCTGCACTAATTCCCAAAAGAATTATTAATTCCACATACAAGGGGATCCAGGCTTGGTTTCCTTTCAAAGAAACTGCAATAAAGAGAAGTACTCTGTACTCCAATATTTGTTTATTTACGAACACACTGTTGGGTTGGATCTTTGAGGAGTGATATCAGTGTGTGCCAAACCACTTCCTTCTTCTCTAAAAATACTTCCTTTTTTATTGGATTCAAAGCATGTTTCCCTGTCTCTCAGCAATAATGCAAATATCCAACAACAACAAAAAAACATTGTACAGTATTTATTTCTTTTCTAAAATGTATAACTTCCCTCATTTCCAAAACTCCACATTTTAAAGACTTTTCCAATATGTTACTTGAATTCCAAGTCCAAAGTCACTGGGAGTCAGGCAGCATATAAATTTAATAAATTATTAAATTATTATTATTATGTTTTCTGTTCATATTATTTTTGCTGCATTTAACTTGGTTGTTGTGGGCTATCTGTTTTCCCAAACTGTTAATTCCAGTAAAAGCATGATTCAAATTTAGTTTTCATGTAGGAAAAATAATTGAGACTATTTTTTAATATAAGTTTTACTGAAGAAATTTTTAACAAGATAAAAACAATACAAATATTAGAAAAGAAACAAAATAAAGAATAGTGAATAATTGCAAAAGAAAATAGAAAAAGAAAAAGAAGAAAGGGGAAAAAAGAAAAGATTATAAAGAAGCAGCTTCCAATCTTTTTGACAGTGGTTATAAATGCATTTATATTTTACCCTCTTTCTCTAAGGGTACATCATAATTTCCTTCTTTCCATAAACTACCCTTTCTAATCATCAAACCCATAAATATTTTTTTTTAAAATTTTTCCCTTTTTCAGCAAAAAGTCCATAAGGGGTTTCCAGACACTGACAAATGTGGTTATTGATCTTTCTCTAATCAAACAAGTTAATTTTGCCATCTCTGCTAGTTTTGTCATCTTCACCAACCATTCTTTGTTGCGGGTATTTCAGAGTCTTTCCATTTTTGCACATATAATAATCTCGTAGCAGTGATCGTATATAAGAATAATCTTCCATGGCTCTTTTTTAATTGACTGCCCATTAATCCCAGCAAGAAAAGTTCTGGTTTCAGTTGAATGTTCATCTTTAAAATTCTTTGTATAATTATACATATTTGAACCCAGAAATTTCTGGCTTTTTTACAAGTCCACCAGGCATGAAAAAGTGACCCTTCACATTGTCCACATTTCAAAAAATAATTGAGAATATTATGGGTTGTTATTGTTATTGCACATTGATGGAATTGATGAGTTGAGATTCTGTCCATTCCTGTTGTATCTAAGTACTTTTCCTGATCCATCCCTGAGATTCCTCTGTGCATACCCTTTTCCCCTCTTTGTTTGTCAAAGTGCAAAATGCATAAGTCTCTTTCTCCTTCTTTGAGTGCAGATAGTTTGTCTTATTTCGGTATATTCAAGGGCGGTCTTTAGAAGTCTCCCAAGAGTAGATTATCATCAGGTAAAGCAATGGAACTGAGCAAAAAAGAGCTCAGCAATCTCTATACTCATATGGTAAACAATGTTTCTGTCATCACTCTGGCTGAAATTCCCCATCCATCACTTCCTGCAAGGGCCCCTGATAGTTGTCAGGTTGTGTTTAATGGAAATGGGATGTTATGAACTAGCAATGCAAAATAAAAGTATAACAGGTCCACAACTGATCAGTAAAGGGGTTCTCTATAATTCATGAGTGCTGGTGCTATATAATGAACTATATGGGGCAAAAAAAAAAAAATATGTATGGCTGTGAAAGCTGGACCATAAAGAAGGCTGAGCGCTGAAGAACTGATGCTTTTGTACTGTGGTGCTGGAGAAGACTCTTAAAAGTCCCCTGGACTTCTAGGAGGTCAAACCAGTCAAAGGAAATCAACCCTGACTGCTCATTGGAAGGATTGATAATGAAGCTCAAGCTCAGATACTTTGGTCACCTAATGTGAAG